ATGGCATAAATTCCTGTAATGGCTTTACAAATCATAGGATCATAAAGTATCCACTGTAAATAAAAATTTAATTTTATACCATTAGATTCCAAGGCCTCCCTGCTTCTGCACAAAGAAGATCAAAAAGTACCCCAGTAGGTATGTACCTGAAATAAATATGAATGGTATCCATAGAAATAACAGAAGAAATGCTACACTTTTTGCACTGAGAAAGTGTATAATATAAAAAAAAAAAAAATACGGCATTCTATGTCATTCAATTTGGTCTCGAAAATAGAGCATATTCAAAGTTTCAAACAATGTCAACTAAAGTAATAATTTTTACTGAGCAACAATATAAAGGAGCATTATTCAAGTCAGTTGCGAACTATACATACCATTTAAGAGGTAGCCCTTTGTACTCAAACCATGCACTGTCAACGCCCGGAGGAAGCAAATTACTGAAAAATGGCTTAATCTGAGGTACTATTAGAGGCAAGTATCCTAAGCGAGGTGCCAAGATCTGATATGCAAATACTAAAACCATAAAAAATCACAAGCAAAGGTTCAAATTATAACAATTATTACACTCTATCCAGCTAATCAAACTTCAAATAATTATTTATACAATCAAAATAAAAGGAAACAAAATGAAAAGAAAAATAAAATAAAATAGTACCAAAGCAGGAGGAGGATTCGGAAGAGTGGTAACCTCGGAATCGTGGAGATGAATCTGAAGAGGTATAGCGCCTTCCCATATAATTTTTTGTGCACCTGTTCCTCCACCTTTAGAATCCATTAGTGTTATCTTCACAATTACCGATTCCAGATTCAGAGATAAAGGAACATGCAATTGAAAAATAAGAATTCACATGAATTCTTCTCCACGAAAATGTGGTTTTTTGAAATTCAGTTTTCCATTTTCATGTTGCAATCATCGGCCAAGTGAATCAAGCGGGCAAAGTGAAATTCAAATTTTAAAAATGTGACAATCAAATTGGGCGCAAGAGAAAATGAAAGAACGGAAAGGAACTATTTTTGTGTGGGAAGTTATTTA